TAGATACAAACACACAATACAAGCTTAAAGAGTTGCAATTTATGTGCACACATTAGGACTGAACTGACACATGATTGTTAGGATATATAAAATAGTGCACTGACGCATTTATTGTCTTTTTTTCTTTCAAAACAGAAAATATGAATCGGGTGCACACATTACATTCAACATGACCCAAGGTATGTACACCATTTGCCACCTGTTGCCTCACTGTTACAAATCGGTCGTCCCAAGTCTCTTGTATCATAGCCAGACCATTTATTATCGTGGTCCTATCTGTTGCAAAGATCTCGAAGGGGACTTCGTGCTTTTGGAAGCTTCGGTAGCTAGACGCTTGCCTGTCGGTCCGTTAAGTCTTTGGCTCAAATCCGCAGGAAGATGAGTTTTAAAATAATGTTACTCTGGCTGTCAGGTCCTCCCAATCTACAGAGTAACAGGAAATATTCTGGAAAATAAAGGCGGCCAATATGCCATTGAACACGTCACCAGTCGAGTTCTGACACGCCTTTAAAATATATATAGAGTATCATATGATCAATGTGCTGCTGGTACGAAAGGGCCAGTTTACTTGTTGCTTCACTACAAGCCTTTTATCTTGAACGTTGAACCCGGTTTCTACAGGAATACCTGTAACCTCTCCGCCTGGCTTCCTTGTCTGTTGTTTCTTAATTATATTTTTTTTTCAAAGACCTAGTTTCAACTCTCAAGTTTCAGTCGCCAGCAGCCTACGTGAGGCTGGTGTGGTCACTGTCCTTCTTCTACGGGCACTTTTGTTACAGAGCTCTATTTACGGGCACTTTTGTTACAGAGCTCTATTTCCCCTCTCCGGACTTGCGCAATATTGTTACTGAAGCTTCACATCTGAAGTAACTCGTATTAGGATATGACCAGACCCGGGGGATGCTTGGCCTCTGGGCATGATGTCCGCCGCGAGTCCTAGAGATTCCGGGTTCAAGTCTCCGGTGAAGGCTGGCATTTTTTTCACGTGGACTTCTAGTAATTTCCCCTGGTCTCTGGGCACTTAAACCAGACGCCCGTGTGTATTGTTGCGTACGTAAAAATTCCACGATCCTCGCCTGTGCAACGGAGTTCGTGCACTGCGCTGGGAATCTTTAGACTCAGGCTTGAGTGTTATAAAAATAACGCAGCACTTACGGTTTACACCCGTGTGCCATGATGTAGGTTTGTTGAATAAACAAAGAAAACAATATGACCAGACCGAGGATCAGCGAAACACCTTCTGAGATTATGCCTCAATCTGTAGTGTCTCTTATTCACATTTTAGGTATTTAACTGTAATCAGACTCCGATCCAATTAAAAACACATTACTGACTAAATAATTAATAATAACAATTATAAAATGCAGTGTAAATACTGAAACTGCCAAAATTGGGTGCCAGTCTCACTGAGTGGTTGAACCATTTCAACAGTCTACATTTTTAATGACGTTGATCCTTTTGTGGATAAGAAGTATACTTCAATCACGTTTTTGTTTCGTTCATTGCCGTAAACTTGTGTTTAACTAACCCACGCTGACATCACAATCATAGACATGATGGTCACCATGTAGCTAGTACTCGACAGAACGTCGCTCTCATCACGTGACGCCGGTAAACAACACGGTACCTTGCCAACTGTACGGCCTCCTGAAATTCCTCCTGAAATTCCTCAGCAAGATTACATTGATATCCCGTGCCTACTATTGCGCAATTGACTCTTTGACGAATCTTTTGCAGAGAATTGTACGCTCCACTACTGCATAACCCAGACTAACAGTGATATAAAACAGCTGCGGTGTCATTCTAATATCTCAGCCAAGAACATACGTGTAGGAATGGATTGTAGTCTGTGTTAAACAGCGTCACAAAAACAGTCAGACACAACTGATGATGTCATCTGTTTGATGCGCCAGCAGGCTGGGCTGACCGTCACTGATAGCGTCACGCCAGCTGCCCGGGGAAATTCATGTTCATCACGTGCATGTTGGCGGCGAGGTGGTGGGGAGCGTAGCTGTGTTGCGTCGGCTGCATGTACGTACACGAGGACAGGCTCGGGTGGGTCCCCTGACCCATGCTGGGTCTCAGGCCGTAGCCTGAAGATGTTGGCGACGACGTGGAGCATTCCGGCGAAGTTTGGGCCGATAACCGACAGGCGGCCATCTGAGAACTGAAAGCTGAGTCCAGGATTCATGCTTTGGAGCAGCGGGGACGTTGTGGCCGCCGGAAGAAACGAACCGGCACCGGCCATTCTCCCAGACGTTGGGTGGTGGTGGGGGTAGTATACAGACTCCCGGCTACTGGTCATGTATGGCATGGTTCCATACCCGCCAGCTTTGGTTACACTTTCGTATTGACAGTGACCGGGCGACGGAATTGGGCTAATCTCCAGCGCTGACATTCTTTTGCTGTTGTCTAGTTTCCTGCCAAGGATGTGACAGGTGCTGGATGCCATGAGATCCGTGTGGTCCTGCGATGCGTCTTCGGTTGAGTCGGCTTGCGACAGCTGAAGCTCTTCTTTCACGTGTGGAGAGGTCATTCTCTGAGAGTCCATCTTCATCACCAGCATGTCGTCTGGTCGTCGCTTCACTGATTCCTCTGTTGAATACATGAAGATGTACATCAAACTGTGTATTGCATGTATGAAGTCATATATGTGTGTGTGTATGCCTGTCTATAGATTTAATGCTATACAAGCACAAAATTATGTAACTCCAGTGACGACACCTAGAAATGTCCAAAATAGCGCACTCGACAACTGAAGAATTGAGTCGAAAACCGAACCTAGCTTACAGAGCTCGAGACAAACTACCACTTAGAACGGAAATTCCCCTCCTTCTTGCACCCTAAAAAAAGAAACAAGAGTAGATAGCAATATCGGTGGGAGGACTATATAGTGAGGTGGACAAACAGCAGTGAGTGAGTGAGTGTGTGTGTGTGTGAGAGAAAGAGAGAGAGAGAGAGAGAGAGAGAGAGAGAGAGAGAGAGAGAGAGAGAGAGACCAAGAACCAGAGACAGAAAGTGTTGGAGATCCAGTTCGGCCAACTTTTACTGTGGAGACGGCACCTAATTGATTCATTTGGAATATTGTTCGTTTAGAGTTGAAGCCGTCGTCCATGTCGATGATTTCTGCCTGCTTTCACTTCCCTGTGCCTTCTATGACCGAACCATATGCTTAGTTTGCTAATCCTTATCTCTTTTGAAAAAAAAAAAGTTAGACAATGTTAAAATTTTAAAATATTTTCTTGACGGTTGATGATCGCTTAAGTGACGCCTTCAGATCATTATATTGTTTGTTTGTCCACTATTTTCTCCAATAATTCATTTTTTTTTTCAAATGAAAAAAAGAAAAAAAGAAAGAAAAAAAAAAAACACACACACACACGCACCCTAATGATAGAAATGTTCTTATGTGAAAAACTCACAAGAGCCAACATATTATTTTGTTATTATACATATTTGACACACAAGAGACGTCGCCAACGTTACAACTGACAGTTCTCTTCCCTTCCATGGCTTTGAAAAACAAACAGTAGTGGACGGACAAGCAAAACCTGCCAGGTGTCTGTATTATTTCCAGCGATCCTATAATCAATTTACCCGGAGCCCGAGAGTGTGGAAACGGGCTCCGCGAAGAAGGAACCGATGCTGGAGTTAATTTCGTCAGCTCATTAATATTGCAGATAAAAAGCGGCAAACTCAATCGTCTGTGCCGAATGTCTCCCGTGTTGTACCCAGGAGAACAAAACTGTCTAGGCGTCGAAATGCTCAAGTGGAAGTGTTTAAACTGGCACTTCGGCAGTCGATCTTCTTCAGCCTCGACCACAAGTACAGAACTGACCAAATTGCGAGTGTCTGTAATAGCTGCTTTCTTGTCTGCGGGCGTTATTCACAAATAACGCAGCGGTTAGTTCAATATTGCATGAACATTTGCGTATTTCCGTGTTGTCTTTCTTGTTCTGGGAACAACAATAAGAGCCTTGCGCTGTTTCTGGACGAGGTGGGTAGATGTCAGAGGGAAGAATCTTTTCTTCGCTAGATCGGGAACATTTCGGCTGTCTATGGTGGTGCTTTTGTATTGTTTTATAAAGATTTTTTTTTTTAGAAAATTTTGAAAAATAGTTTAGAATTTGAAATCGTTTTTAAAAGGTCGTGGTTCACGTGAGTGAGCTTTTGACAAATCTGTTTTACGTATTTTTAATTGTTTTCATCTCCTCATTGAACGTTAGGAACGGGGTAGCCACTGCTGTCTTTGAGACTTGGGAGGCCGCAGTCTTAATGATGGTGCGACTCTCACACCACTGCCTTAGAACCACGGAAATCCAGCCCTGTTGTTCAAAGATCATGACACTATTAAATACCAGAAGCAACAAACTGTCTTTACTGATGATAATAATTTACCTCTTTTTAATGCGGTATAAAAACGAAGGGAAAATAAGAAAATAAAAGGATTGGGGAGGGGAAGGCGGAACATGAAGAGTACGGGGCGGTATGACTAGTGCAAGCGTTAAGATCTGCAAGCTAGGATATTTATGTCTGAAAAGTACTAAGGTCTGACAGTACACATGATGGCTAAAATCGGACTGAAACACAAATTATGAATAGAAAGTTTTCAATAAATAACTTTTTCGTTCTGTTGTTTACTACTGATTTCATTTTGTACATGAGAGAAGGGGGATGGGGAGAGAGAAAGAGAGAGATAGAGAGAAAGATAGAGAGAAAGAAAGAGAGAGAGAGAGAGAGAGAGAGAGAGAGAGAGAGAGAGAGAGAGAGAGAGGGTAAGAAACTTCTTCAAAGTGCGCCAAATGAGTCCTGCTGCACTGAAGTGAATCGCAGACAGTAAACTACAGGTGGTTGCAGAAAGCATCTCAGCAAGATTACTTTGACAATGACCAGGTTTACCATCAAAACGCTTCTATCTGATGTTGACAATTTGCTGGTTGAAACTGACCGAATTAACCCTCATATCTTCATTCATTTAAAGCCTTCCTCCTTTTCTTCACTTTTTTTCTTGCATTCCCGTCCTGCAATAACCCAAAAGAGAAAGGCTCCAACCATCTTAATGAGAGCCCATTTGCGTGACTGGTTGGTTGTTACATCTTTATTCACCGGCTGTGAGCTCCGGCTGAAAGTCCTTGGTTTTCGTCCATTTGTGCCAGGGACCGATTTTTGCGAGTACATCCGTTTTGCTGGCTTATTTGCGTGCAGCTGGTTGTTCTTACCACTCAGGAAGATGCACTACAACATCGAAGGAGCTAGAACCCACAGGGAAAATTGGTTGTTAAATAAATCAAATAGACGGAATGCAAATTTCAAATAATAATAATAAATATAATCTTTAGATTTGCATTGTGTAGGATGAATATAAACACAGGGATGAAAACTTGCTGGTAGAGACGTCTGGCGATCTCTCTAACAAACCTCTACACCCCATGGTAGAAGAGCCACTAAGTAAGTATGGATGAACATATCAAGGATGAGAATCACACAGCTATCAATTCCAGAATCCGCTTTCAACCAATATAGCACGGTTATACTGGGGCATCAACAGTTTCCAGGGTAACCTGTAGCTTAGTGTGGTGGGTTGTTTCCGGTCCGTGATCTAACTTGCAAACTGAAGTCCATTAGGGCACGCAAGGTAACAAACGATAGCGAAGGGCAATAACTCACCTTTCTCTCGATCTGCGTCTGTTTCGAAAGATCTCTTCATTGGCAGTCTGTGATCTCTGCGTGAGAGAGAAAGTAATCATTTAGCAGATGTTGAGATGCCACAAGTGTCACCTTCATGTATACTAGATGGTGACATAATGAGGTCTGGGGAAATAGTTTCCTTTGGCGCTGCCTTTCTCTCTCCACACACACATACCTATGCGCCTATAATTCCCAAATATTTTCACATATATTTGATAAAAGGCCCACATAAAGCCTGAAACTATATCCCTGTGATCTTTAAGCAACTGGTTTTTTTTCCCCTCTCTCTCCCTCCCTCTTTCATTTGTATTTGTATTTTTTTTTTTAAGTTTCCAGAAACCACGAGTTGCAACCTTTGGCTCGGTAATTTTGATATCGCAACCCTTCGGCCTTGATTCCATGAAGGATACCGCAAATCTGGGAGAAATGTAGCTTCTCTGCCTACCCCCGGGCGTAAACCCGGACCAAAAGGAGTTCGTCACCCGGTCGCCGCCCAGTCAGGTTTAACTAACTATGCTAGTGAACCAGACCGTTTCATTTGTAAAACGCGTTTCTCTCTCTCTCTCTCTCTCTTCTCTCTCTCTATATATATATATATATATATATATATATATATATATATATATATATATGTATATGTGTGTGTGTGTGTGTGTGTGTGTGCGTCTATTAACTAATACTCTATATACATACAAAAAAGTAAAGCTCTTACTTTCTTCCTAAACCGTTGTCTCTGAATCCCTTGGCGAAAGGATTATGGTCAATCTTTAACTGTGTGATCTGTGGAGATGTGAAGGCAACAGCAGGTCAGTACAGTAAAGGACCCATTATACGCTAGCGGTGCATCTGGGACATGATGATTGCTTCACATTTTGATATGATTTGACCACTGGGCAATCGATGGGTGACGTGCTCAGCATAACGCCGGCCGCCTTGACACTACATGGGAATCTTTCAATGCTGGGTCCGCCTATGAGACAATTCGTAACCATGATTGGCCTGTCAGGGTCTAGCTGCTAGACTACCGTGGCTGCCACAACATAGGTAACGTTGGCTCGGCTTGCTTTGTGGAAAAACAAATCGTCACTTTCAACTAGCATCCTGGAAGGGGGTGCTTTTGGTTATAATTGTGACTAGTTTAAGCGCAGCATGTGAAATGGCTAAACATTGCTTACCAACAAGTAGTCCTGAAAAGACTCCTGCAGTATTGATACGATCAAAGGAGGTTAGTTACGTTTCCGTTACAGGACGTTGCAGAACCAACCCTAACAGCTCCTGGCTGTTGTGTGGTTTTTCTAGGCAGATTCACGTCCAGCAGTTTGCCAATGCTTACTGGACGGTCGGCCACTGTCGAAACCAACGTAAGGCGCATGGCCCGCAGCTGGGATCAAACCCGGCATCCCAGAGCCGACGATCAAAGGAGACATGCCCAAATACTGTCCCTACCGACGACGAAATCGTCTACTGACTAGCCAATGAGCTACCCGCTCGCCGATGATGAAGACATAGGTAAATATACCAGAAATTATTTATATAGCTTTAGTGCGTGGTTGAGTAGGGTAGAACATACTACTGATATTTGTTATTTCATTATCTGCATCCTATTATTTCACACCGTGTATTGTGGATTCTTGGATTTTGGATGGTGCCGTTATTGTCTCCCCCTCTCATTCTGAGCGTTTATCGCCCGTAATCTCCGGCAGACAGTTGTGGATGTTAGTCCGCTACTGGTCTTGTTCCAGAACTGTTGCGTGCATATCCATTTTACAAATCTGGCTTATTGGTATGCAGGCTGTCGGTTCGTGGCTTCTCAGGCAGATGCACCCCGACTTCAAAAGAAACACTATTCAGGCACCTTTAACCTGGGGGTGACCATAGATTTCGTAAAACGTCATTTGTCCCGTGTTAATAAAATCTAGGAATTACGTCAAGAATAGAAATAAACACATCAGAGATGTATATGAAGACCTTATTGAATGGTTGAATTAAATAGTTTTATAAGCTAATTTTTCGGCAGGTACAAAAACATGTACCTTTAAAAAAAAAATAGTTTAAAGAATGTAAATACCTGAAATGTGTTATTAGAAATTTCTGTTTTTCTCCGTACTGTTAAAGATCATATTTTTTTATTTATTTCTCGGCGATAGTGTCCATTGTCGAGCCGGTAATTAACCCATTTACCACTGTAATCTAGAAGAAGAAGAAGAAGAAGAAGAAGAAGAAGAAGAAGAAGAAGAAGAAGAAGAAGAAGAAGAAGAAGAAGAAGAAGAAGAAGAAGAAGAAGAAGAAGAAGAAGAAGAAGAAGAAGAAGAAAAAGACAAATAAGAAGAAGAAGAAGAAGAAGCAGAAGAAGAAAAAAAAAAAGTAGAAGAAGAAAGAAGCAAAAGAAGAAAGAAGCAAAAGAAGCAGAAGAAGAAAGAAGCAGAAGAAAAAAAAAAGAATAAGAAGAGGAAGGGAATGGGAAAAGAGGAAGTGTTCAAAGGTGACAAACAATTTAGGGATAAGGACATGGAAACATGCAGCGTGTAGCACAACAATGACACGTCTTACCTGCTCGTTCTGGTAAGCGGTGACAGCAATGAAGGTGGTCTCCTCAAAAGAGTAAGTGTTGAATTTGTTCCATCTCATGGCGAAAATGTCGTTGGCCTGCACCACGTGAAGACGCGGTTGGTATTTGTGCATGGAGTTCAGTATGATCTGCTGACAAGCATTGAGACAAATGCTTTCTTTTAAACCACACAATTCAAACTAGGCAATTTATTAATAACGTTATTTTAGTCTTTTTGTATGTTTGTGTGTGTGTGTGTGTGTGTGTGTTTATATATATATATATATATATATATATATATATATATATATATATATATATATATATATATATATATATAGAGAGAGAGAGAGAGAGAGAGAGAGAGAGAATGCAGGAGTAAGAGTTGGATGATACAATATAAACAGTTTGCGTTATGCAGACGATACTGTTTCGATAGCTAAAAATAAAACTGATTTACAACAACTGTTGGATATTATGGGTACGGAGAGTGCTAAAAAAGGACTTTCATCGAATATTAAGAAAACGGAAGTAATGGTTTTATCATAGAAGAAGTTAACTCCCGTTGTGATATCCCAGTTGAAGGAAAAAAAGACTTAACCAAGTCAAAAAATTTAAATATCTGGGGAAAATCATATCATCAGATGGAAAATGTGTGACAGATTTAAGGCAGAATAGGTCAAGCGAAAGTTGCATTTCAGAAAATGAAAAATATCTTATGCAATAAATCGCTCTTATTTAATGTCAGAAAGAGTGTGTTAAAATGTTACATAGAACCTGTTTTGTTGAATGGTAGCGAATCTTGGAAGGTGGCTGGACAAATTAAGAAGAATTTGGAAGCAACAGAGATGTGGTTTCTGAGACAACGAATACCTTGGACGGCCAGAGTAACTAACAACGATTGCTTGAAAGAGGCTAATGGAAGTAGATCTCTATATACAACAATAAGAAAAAGACAAACACTGATATTAGGCCACATAACGAGAAGAAAGACATTGGAGAACATCGTAACAACTGGAAAGATAAGTGGAAAAAGGGGTAGAGGCAGACCAAGAGAGATGATGCTGGATAGGCTGAAACGATGGTATGGTGAGATATCAAGAGAGCTGTTCCGGGCAACCAGGGATCGTGATCTGTGGAGACGCATGAGCGCCTACGCCAGCTGGCAGGGCACATGATGATGATTATATATATATATATATATCACAAATGGCATGAAACGAAAGTTACCTAATTATTCTACACATAAATAACAAACCTAATAGCCATGTATATGCACAGACTTTCTCTAAGGAGTTCACTATTTTATCACAAAAGCTCGTCTGTCGTAAAACAAGAAGATGAAATGCAAGGAAAAAAATTATCTGGACACTCACGGATAGAAGAAAAAGAAGATATTATAATGGGCTCATCAAAAGAAGAAGCAGACGAAGAATCGACAGGCACTGAAATGGGAACGAATGGGTTGAGGAAACGAGTACAGAACAACTAGGAAACATCTCTTGTCTTGTTCGTTTTAGTTTTTCATCACAGTTTGTGCTGTGTTAGTACTCCGTGGACCCCCCCCCCCCCCAACTTTGATAAAAACGTTTGGTTGTATTTGTGTTCGTTTTTCCATTTCCATCGCGGAGCTTAAGTCACATTTTACGTTGTTTAACACGTCTAGAAAGGGAAGTTGAAAAGGGAGAATAAATGTACTGTACTGGATTTCAGCGATTATACCGAAACGATTTTGCTGCATAGAATACAACCGAGGAATACATTGCCAGCCATATGTTACGTATAAACACAGCTAATATGTTTGTTTCTTCTTCAGTTCATAAATTTGTAATTTTGTGTGTGAAAAAAATTACCTTTTTAATGTTATTGAACGGAAAATAAAATTATAATAAATAAGCAGCATTTTATAGTGAAGTTCCTAAAAGCCGGATGCCTACTATACCAGCATAATAATCAACACTGGAATGGTAGTCGCAGAAATGAACAGCTGTCCTATGTGAGAGGGTTACTAAACTGGTGCCCGCAAGGCTCAGTCAGTGGCCGCAGAGCATTGTCAGTTGCATTGTATTGATGATCTTTCTACGCTCTCGCTCGGTCCTCTAGCCTGTGACCAACCTCCATTTTTTTCCAAATGTTGGCCCCCGAGTAAACTCAGTTGAATAGTCCTGTCTTATGTCACTGGGCACAGTACTCGTTTTCTGGTAGAAGTCCAGGCGCTCCACACGAGGCTACTGGGCCTTCAGAGCTGATAGCCATTAAATCTCAGATTACGGAGGCATAAACGTGTCGCAGCCTTTCACACAGTGTTGTCAATAGTATAAAGATGTGCAGTCTTCCGGACTGCCGCAGAAGGAATGTGACATGAGGACGTTATGTCCTCCCGATTGGGTATCATCAACTGTGTTACTTGGGCACATTATCACTAGGTCCTAGACTCCCCTTTCTTGTCAGAACGTAGGTTGACTTACATCAAGTGATCTAATTATATTGTAGGAAAAGTTTCAAGCCATATGATCTGATTGTTAGCAAAGTTGACTTTTGAAGTCCCCTTGTGGGTTCCGGGGCCTTATTATGCGGGAGGGGAAGGTAACAATTGACCTGCAGCTTCCTCAACAAGCATGTAAGAGTCGACTAAAGTGGAGGTGGAGGGGGTCCTTTGAAGTCGGAGGTTGATCTGCCTGACAGACCAGAAACCAGCAATTTGCATACAAAAAGGTCATATTTTTAAAACGGATGTGCAGACAACACTCAGGTACTGGAACAAGACTAGGGTCTAGAGGCGGACCAACAACCATAATCTTTTGACGGAGTTTACAACCGGTGCATCACGAAAACCGAGTGCCTATTGGTCTACAAAGTATAGGTCTAGTTTTGTATGCTCACCATGCTACTCCTGAAGGCGTGGGTAGGGAACCTTTACATTGAGTCACATGACTAGATAAGGAAGTATACCTATGAAACAGAGAACCAACAGCCTGCCTATGGATAATGGACTTGTAGAGAATCAATATTTTGTCCACATTAAAATATAGCGTCTTCCGATATCAGTCATTTAGATGTCTACATTTGATTCTTACTAAGGGAGATCCTGGGACAAGGAGCGACTTTAACATTCGAACTAGAATTCGTTTTCTGGGTTGTTCTGGCCATTTCACAAGATTATAGCCCATTGGATTCAATCAGGTTGAAATAAAAGTCGCTGTCATAAGTGTTAGTTTCAGAGCCAGAAGACCCTGGCGCTCGCTTAACCACAAAAGGACCAAAGCGTATACACAGTTTCAATATCGGTTACCGCCCTTAAAATTGGCAAATGTTTTTGTTCTGAGAGTTTGAGAGGCCAGGTGAATATTGCACCCGGTACCCGGCAACAAGACGTTGACAAATTTATGTGCCCTCGCAGCCCTCCCAGCATCCAGGACGTAGTGGTTTATGTCCAACAAACGACCATCTTCATGCTCAAATATCCACCCTCGCTACTGGGGTGGCCCGCTCGTTAAGGGCGTCACTGCTAGCTAGAATTTCCGGTAATGGTCTATGATCGCTTCCGGTATGGTTGGGTCAACTAGATACAGTTCTTTAGAAGTAGACTTACAGGTGAGCTGTGACCCTGCTGGACACGCCAATTGTCAGTTTTGACTGAGGTGTGCCATCAGTCTGTTCTTCTGTTACTTAATTATTCTTATTTTTTGAGAATTTTATGGAGGTTTAAACAACGGATCAACATCATGGCACGCGGGCTGTAACCCA